AGTGTTACCAAGGCAGATGTAGCTATTGGGGGTGGGGGTGGGGTGGAAGGCTGAAGGGTATCTAGGCAGCCACAACATGGAGTCATAAGATGTCACCATCTTAGTCACTTCACTATACTAAAGATACAATAGATATTCTAAAAACACCTGAAGTATTATAGAAACAACTCAAGCAAATCAGCACATTAAATTGGCTATTCTAGAAAAAGCCCTTATATGAAGATAGTACAGAGAGAGACAGAGACAGAGACAGAGTCCTAAGACACTTTTTGAAGAAAGACTTTTCTTTTTTTTTAATTTGGTTTTTACGAGACAGGGTTTCTCTGTATTGTTTCGGAGGCTATCGGTCCAGCCTGACCTCGAACTCACAGAGATCCGCCTGCCTCTGCCTCTCGAGTCCTGGGATTAATGAAGAAAGACTTTTATGGATAACAATAGTGTTCAAGACTCAAAGACAACACAAGTTTGAATTCCTTAATCAAATGTCTTTTTGTGTTTGCTTCTTGAAACAAAATAACTAAGAGTAGGAAATTTTCAAAGAACAGAAATAATTTCTCACAGTTCTGGAGGCCTGAACATCCAAGATGGAGTAGCTGACAGGGTTGGTGTGTGATGAGACTCTGCTCTCCAATTTTAGGTATCACCTGATCGCTGATGTCCTCTGGAGCAACTAAATGCTTTGTCTTCAGTCAGCAGGGCCAAGGGCAGTTGCCCCAGCCCTCTTTAAAGGCAAGAATCCATTCCTAAAGGCTCTCATGCTACAATCAACCTCCTCTATGGCTGCAACCCACCATTTAATATCTGAAATAACAAATACAAAGCTCAATTTGCTATGTACTAGTATAAGGAGGAGCAGAGCAACTCCTGTACTCAGAAAACAGCTCCTTGATGACCAAAGAAACTGTAAATATAATCTTTGACATGTGCTGTTTACAAGTCTTATTAAAGATATACTTTCGTAATCACCTAGAAGTTTGTATGCTTAGAAGGTACAGAAGAATGTCTACTGTTTTTACAGATTTCATTTTCAAAGAGTATCCTTGGTTGGTCCAAGAGTACTGGTGTTTACAACTATTTGACCACAACCAGTTACAGACACTATCCTACAGAATTCATTTAGACATCTCATTGACATAAGTAGTGTATTATTTAGTGGAAATTTCACTTAACACTTTACTAAATTATTTCTGAAAAAATGGCAACTATACGACAGCTTCTACTATCATAAAACAAACTAATTTAAATTTATTGTGTGGGAAATAGGGAAAAGGACAAAAGGATGGGGTAGTTCTGCTGTAATATAAAAGAGCTCATAAAGGGCAAAGTCCAAAATCTTCAGCACACAGCATGTTCTTTCAATGTAGAAACAGGCCAGCCCTGCTTGCTGGCCAGAAGAATCATGGAGGTGTAAGTTCTCACAAGGATTCCTTTGTCAAGGACATTTCTTTCTCTCTGTGTCAGAATGGTACTTCTTAGGCATAAGCCCGAGGTTTTGTTTAGTTTCCCATCGATGTAGGATAGACTGGCTGGAAACAACATCACGCCTCTTATCTTGATTCTGTAGGAGAAAATATGCCCAACTCTTGTCTGCTGAGAACCAACAGTTTAGAGTCTGTTGCCCTCCATAATGCCACTTATATGTTCAGATAGGTAGTTTTGATCTAGATAGTTTGGGAAAGGTAAAATTTCTACAAGAACTTAGTCCATTGGTTTCCTAACAGTAGTTAAAAGAAACCCACAGATGAACAGCTAGATGATTACGAGGGCTTCTGTAGTCAGAAATGGAGAAGGAAAAATTCAAACTTCTTTACAACAACAAGGTGAACCTCACCTCTTCTGGCCACCTGTCTTCCCGGGGAAGCCTCTGCAACCGGTTTTTTGTCAGCTCAAGTTGTAGGCCATCGAACCTGCATTTAAACCATCGGTGAGCTTCTTCCAGATTAGCTGTTATCTGAACACAGAAATGCCCACAAATTCTTTTGTGTACATGTATGGGAGATTTATACCTAGCTATCAGAAGACTCAAATGCTCACATGGGATCCTTGCAACATGTCTGTATAGTACACTGAACAACCATTAAGTTGAGGAAACATGCTGAGTGAGGCAATTAAAGGATGCTCACACACAGGCTCCTGCTTCCCACACATTTCATCAGTACGCCCTGCATCGCCTACACCTAGTGAAGCATTGACAGAGTACGTCTAGCAAACATGCTGCCAAGCACTTTCTGTCATTAGCAAGGCCATCATGTGGACATACTACAGTAAGATAAAAGCACTGGACTCCTTTGCTATAATGTAATTTGGCTTTTAGGAACAACAAAAATATTTTCAGGTCTGTTGGTACATCCTGGTAACAGTAACAACTTCACTCTAAACCCAGCCCAACCCTTCTTCCAAGTGTTTGGTTTTTTTTTCCCCCCAGAAGTACAGGGAAAGACTCTGAAATAAATTACACCTTCTGTTGTATGGCAAATGAGAGGGAACTGACATTGAAACGTATTGAAAAAATCTTATTAGAATAAGATAGTAGTGGGTATTAAATTATCTTGTAAACACAGTGATGAATAGTTCATAGAAAATAAACATGGGCTGAGAAGGCAACTCATTGCGTAAAGTGCTGTTGTGTAAGAATGAGATCTCAGTTTGATCCCCAGAACCCACATTAGAAGAGAATCTAGGTATGGTGGCATGTACTTGGAATCCCAGAGCCAGGGAGGAGGAGACAGGCAGATCCCTGGGACTCGCTGGATAGCCGGCCTAGTCTAGTTGCTGAGTTCCAGTCCAATAACAGACCCTGTCTCAAAAAAAAAAAAAAAGGTGGATGGTACCTGAGGATACCCAAGGTTGTCCTCTGGCCTCCACATGCATGATTACACTCATACACATGCACCCCCATACATGAACATATATGTATGTACATACATACACTCAAAAATGAGGGTAAATGTAATTTTATAAAGGGCACAGAGAAAGCTTCATTACTGGCACTCAAACTTGAGATTGTCAAGAGTCCTTTTCTTTCTAATATACCAGTTCGCAAGTTATTCTGCTGTGTAACCAATGATAAATGGAGTTATATTATTGTGATACTTTAGAATTTCCTTTGCATGCCACTGTAACACTATGGACATATGGTGCCAGGCTGGTAGTTACTGTAGCTCCCAGGGCTCTACAAGGGTGAAAGCAGTGGTGTGAATATGGGGTAACCAACCACTTTCTGATTAGATTTGAGGCCTGTTCTACAGAAGGAAAACTCATGTTTCTTACTGTAAATCTAGCCAAGAACGTGTGGTCAGGGAACTCACAGGGTGTCAAAGCAGCAATATGCATTAGATCCACACCTAGCTGCCCTTCCCTTGAGTTTAGTGGTATGTACTAAGGCTTCAGATTTCATTAATATTCTAGTATTCATTATCATCAGGACACAGAATGTTATCTAAAATTCTTCACAATCAAGGTAATACTTAGTAAACTGTTGTTCTCTGTCTGCTGTACTCCTCTGACAACTGTGTCAGTGGCAGACTCCACAGCACTGTATGTATGTTCAGGGTTGCTCTATTTCTCTCAAGTGCCCGAGTTTGGCTCACCTGTTCTGACTCTACACTGGCTTCTTTTAGTTTATTCTCAGTCGCTTCCTTACATCTCTTCAGGTGTCTGATAGTTTCTCCCAATTCCTGAAAATGTGATAGGTTTTAATAAACTTCTCATGTACCATATAGAACCAAAATGCTTCAAATTTGTAATATGGCAATTAGATCATGAAAATAAGCCATAACACTTTTGAACTTCTATTTTGTATTTTAATACAATTTAATCTATAGTCTATCCAAGTTTGAGTTTGGTTTATGGATTCTGCCAAGAAAAATTAAAGTCTCTTTTTTTAGAATCAAAAAGAACATTTCATGGCTATTGGAAGATAGGAATTTAATGATTTATTGAAGTTTGTTTTTGGTCATTACAGTTTTTGTTCATTAGGAATAGCTAGATTCCTGTGGCAACACCAAGTCTATTCTTTTTGTAGAGAAGACTCAAGAGCTGTAAAGTTCCTAGAAGACCAAGGAGTCAGCCCCAATACCATGCTGGTATTTTGTTTATATGAGCTCTAACTCTTTTGTAAAAGCAAACTGAGAATGAAGATTTTCCACATTCCAAACTACCACAATTTCAGTACGAAATGTCCTTCAAAAGGCTCACGCCCTGAATGCTGACTCCAGCTGGTGGCCCTACTTTGGAAGGTAGCAGAAACTTTAGGAAGTGGGGGCTAGCTGGCCACTGGGGCTATCTGAAGGATATACCCAGTCCCAGTCCCCTCTTCTATTTCCTGTTCACGATGATGTGAGCAGTCTCCTTCTATACATGTCCCTGTTCTCATGATGTCCTGCCTCACCTAGGGTCCAGAATTAATAGAGCCAGGGTCTAGAGACTAAAATCTATGAAACTATGACCTGACATAAATCCTCCTTTTAGTTGTTTGTATCAGGTATTCTTGTCACTACAACAAGGAAAGTAACTAATATACCATTTTTCTAAACATGTGTCTTAGTGTCTTATTGCTGTGAAGAGATACCATGACCATAGCAACTCTTATAAAGGAAAATATTTAATTGGTGCTGGCTTACAGTTTCAGAGGCTTAGTTCATTATCGTCATGACAGGAAACATGCTGCATGCAGGCAGACCTGGTGCTCTGGAAGGAGCTGAGAGTCTTACATCATGATCCACAGGCAGCAGGAGTGAACTGACCTAAACTTCTTCGACCTCAAAGCCCACGCCCACAGTGACACACATCCTCCAACAAGGCCCCACTTCCTAAGAGTGCTAGTCCCTATGAACCAAGTATTCAAAAACACATGAGTATATGGGGGCCATACCTATTCAAATCACCACAACATGTAGTTTTTTGTTGTATAGAATCTAGGAAAATCTAAGTGCCATTTCACCAGATTTAGGCATATACACTTGCTAGTAACCATTGAGAGGATCTTAAGACATCTTTACCTCACACCGATTTTCCAGTTCCTGTCTTAGTTTCCGCTCAGTTGCTAGTCTCAGCTCCTGCTGTTTATTCCGTGCAGAGGTCTCATACTGGCTCTTGGCTAACAGCTCCATCTCTTTCTGCAAGTTATTCATTTCAGATACAAATCTCTGGATACTCAGTGACTGTTGGGGAACAAGAAGGTAAACACAGTAAATGCAAGTTAGACTCTTAAGGTATAGTAAACAACACTGAGTTTGAGGGAATCATATTTTACCTGTTCATAGTTCTTTTTCTGATATTGATCCTTAATTATCTCCATTTGCCTCAATTCTGTTTCTATTTGCTGAAAGTAAATGTCCAAATAACACAAAAAATGGCCAGTGGATTAACTTTGACTTTTAGGCTGGCTGAATTCTAAGTTTTCAGTTTCTGCTGGGTTCTATTTCCTACCTAGCCCACAGACCCTGAAAGAGCCAGATGGGCAGTCTTCTATATACATTCTGTATATGAGGACTGCCCACCTTGGGAAAGATGGATGGGAGCCAAACATGCTGCAGAAGCACAAGGAGACCCACATTTACACAGCAGTACCTCCACCAAAGCACAGATGATCCCACAAAAGTAACCTGCCCACTTCCCAGAGAATACATCCTGTGGCCAAGGCTCTGAAACAACGTCCCAGATGCCATAGCCAGGGGACCCTCCCAACCCGCTGAAGCAGTACGGAAAGGGCTGGGCATCTCATACAACCTTCATCCTCTCCAAATTCTGCACATTATTTGCCTTGGTCGACAAGTGCAGCTTTATTTGAGCCTTTTGATTCTTTAGTTTCTCCTTGTTACTGTTCACTACTTTTTCCAGCTCCGTAAGTTTCTGTCGTAGTTCTCGGTTTGTCCGGGACACTTCCACTGATCTGAAGTTGGCTTCGTCAAGAGCTTTCTTCAGCTTAGAAGACAAAAGGACAGAAGAGAAGGGATGCCTTTTACCTACTATTTGGTAAGAGAAACTGCACTGTGTTCTACATTTCCAAAGGAGACTGCTGGCTGGAGAGACAGTTCAGAAACTAAGAGCACTGCTGCTCTTGCAGAAGTTGCGGATTCAGTTTCAGCACCCACATCTATAACTCCAGATCCGTGGAAATGTGATGCCTTCTTCTGACCTCTGAGGGTACTAGGTATGCACATGGATCACAGACCTACATCCAGGCGAAAGACTTACACATATAAAAAATAAGAAAATGATACATGCATGATGTCTGATTATACCAATTTATGAAGCAACAAATGAAGCAATTCTCACCACTTAAGAGTACAATACTTTTTAAACTAGTGTGAATGTTGAGCATAGCTGTAGAGAGACCCAAGTTCCAGTCTGAGTTTCGTTACCCATGAATAGGTTTGTGTAACTAACTTTCCAGTCTCAGACTCATCAACTGAAAACTGAGCGGACTGCCTATTTAAGGGGATACATTAGAGTTAAGTAAAACAAGTAAAGAAGGAAAGCAGAACCCAGTTATAGAATATTTTTAAGATTACTACATTTATTTATGCTGTGGAATATTTGTTTAATGATGCAAAGATGTGTTGCATTCTTTTATGTCGCATTTATTTCACTCTGTGAAGCTATGTTACTTTGCCTGCCTCAAACACCTGATTTGGCTTATAGAGAGCTGAATGGCCGCCGGGCGGTGGTGGCGCACGCCGGGAGGCAGAGGCAGGCGGATCTCTGTGAGTTCAAGGCCAGGCTGGACCGACATCCTCCAAAACAATACAGAGAAACCCTGTCTCGTAAAAACCAAAGAGAGAGAGAGAGAGAGAGAGAGAGAGAGAGAGAGAGAGAGAGAGAGAGAGAGAGAGAGAGAGAGAGAGAGAGAGAGCGCTGAATGGCCTATTGCAAGGCAGAAGAAAGGGTAGCTAGCAGGCAGAGAGAATAAATAGGAAGAGAAATCTGGGAGAAGATTGAGGTATGAGAAAAGGCAGAGGAGGAAATCAGGGGCCAGCCAGACAGCTACACAACAAGCCACAGAGAAAGTAGTAAAGAAAGGTATACAAAAATAGAGAAATGTAAAAGTCCACAGACAGGAGATAGACAGGATAATTTCTTTAAAGAAAAGCTGGCAAGAAACAAGTCAAGCTAAAGCTGTACATTCATAAGTAAGAACAGGCCTCTATGTGTTTATTTGGGAGCAGGATGGTGGCTCCCCAAGAGCCAAGAGTAAGAGCCAAAAGAGTAAAAATCATTCAATAACACCCACTACACAGTGATTATTTCCAAACTATAATCATTTTCCTGTTGCCTCGTGGCTCAGAAATGAAAATAAATTTAGAGTAGTTGCACACACTTGGCAGATGTTCACTAACCCTGCATGCATTTGATAGTGCTTTAGTACTTTTGTCTCATGGGAAAGTAGTATCATGAATGATTTTACATTGTCCTGGTCCTTAAAATGTTCCTTTAAATTAAAGAGGTGGCTGAAGGGAGGTGAGCAGAGGGAAGGCTACTCAAGGCCGGGAGGTGTCTGCCAACACATGTAGTCAGTGCTTTCTGTCCTTGCTCTCACCATAGTAGTTCTGTCTTTAGAACTTATGGTCCAGCACACTCTTCTGCTGCCATCACTAACCATCTATGACATACTCCACTGCTACCTCAAGGCAAACTAACACCACTAGTTATGCTTGCCCATATGGCACAGATATTTTCCAATTTAATTCTTTAAACAAACCTGAAAAGTAGCTGTGATGACCTTGATTTTATAGCACAGGAAATGGGTTCAGAAGTCAATCCACTTAAGAGAAAATGAATTCAAAGCTAATATTCATTTAGCAGGGCTGGGACTCAGCAATGCTCTTAACTCAGTCTGGGCATCACACCAATGGCACAATGTTGCCAGGTTCCCTTACTTGTTCACCATTTTCACAGATGCTTCCTTCAGGGTTTCAAATTTAGATTTATTTATGTGTCTTAGTGTTCTACATGTATGCGACATGTGCCTCATTCTCAATAAGGTCAGAGGGCACTGGATCCCCTGAAATGAGAGTTATGGGAGGCTCTGAGTATATGTGTGCCAGGAACCCATTCCTGGTGTTTTGCAAAACCAACAAGTGTTCTTAGCTTCTGAGCCAACTCTCCAGCCCCAGGTTTCAGTTTTCTGTGTGTTCTGAGCAATGAGCTCTAATCAATGGTGTACTTTTACATGTAGAACACCTTTTTGCTTCCCACAGAATTGCTTTTTATATGTGCACAGTGATTTGCAGGTCACAAAACTTATATCACTAGTTGAACTTACCTTGTTAACTATCTGTCAATTACAATTACTAAATGTAGCAATGTAAACAATTCACCTCAAGTCTTATGTGTGTTTACTACTTCTTAGTATATGTTTTACTATTTAAAACAATTTTTAAATTTAAATACATTTTGATCATATTCTTCTCCTCACTCAAGTCTTTCCAGATCTTCTCTTCTTCCCTACCCACTCAACTTTAAATTCTTTCTCAGTAAACAAACAAAACCCCAATACAACAACAAAACCCCCCCTCAAAACCAAGAAAACAAGACCACACCAAAAAGAAAAAAAACCAAAACCCATCAAACTAAGCAAATAAAAGCACACAAAAATTTGGTCCTCCCTCTTCCATGCTCAGTATACAACAGTTAATGTGTTTATTCCTCTATTAAAATATCTTTTGATTTAATTGCTCCCTTTTTCAACAATTACCCCTTTTACTTGATCCTGATTATCAATTACCAAAAGCTACTGTGGTTTTCTTATGCCCCCATCTACTTTCTTTATTCTCTCCTACTTTCTGTTGTCGTCACAGTAACTTAAAGTTGTTTCTAGAGTGCTCACGCTTCACCTGAAAATTCCCATCCAGTGGTCTAGAAGGCAAAGCTGTGGGACCAGGCAGCCTATCTAAGGTAACTTGTCTTTCCCTGGTTTCCGTTTTTGTAGCTCAGCTTTTCATAGGCTCTTATGAGAGGACCTCACCCTGCATGCCTAGGAGACTCAAAGCTATGCCTTCATTGCTTCCTGCCTTCTAGCTGTCAACAAGCCTAAAATAAATTTTCTTTTACTTTGAATTCCTTCAAAGCTGTACACTACCTCTAGTTAGCCAAGAAAAGCTCTCTGGTGTCTTGTTATTTTTCTCATGTCCAGAGTGGCCATCACAACTAAACAAGGGTTATTTGGCTCATGCATATAGCATGTGTCACATCTTTTACAACTCTTTTGTTGTTGTTTGTTTGTTTTATACACAGTCTCATGTAGTCTAGGTTGGCCTTGAACTCAGTATGTAGCTGAGAATAACCTTGAACTTCTGGTCCTCCTAGCTTTACCTCCCAGGAGCTGGGGTTGCAATGAGCAGCGTGCTGCTGAAGATGGAAGCCAGAGCTTTGTGTAGTTGAGCAGCAAGCATTCTACAGACTAAGCTACATCCCCAGGCCTCTCTTGCTGTCCTGAGTTCAGATACACAGTGGCTGGGGAGGCAGATGGGTTGAGGAGATGGTGATTAGATAGATGGCCGTCTTCTCAGGCCTCTGACATGAAAGTTCTTAAGGCACCCCTCTGCCAGGCAGGGAGCTGCATGTCAGAAACAGCTTTTTTGGAAGTGCTGGGGAGCAAGCAGAGGTAGCCAAAGCACATGTGGCTTGGACACCTGCAGACACTGCACAGCTCAGTGCAGTGCCCCTCACCTCAGAAACTTCCCTCTGTGTGGCTTTCTTCGCAGTCTCTCTCTCCGTCTGAAACTGCTTTCTCAGAGCTTCAATGCGCTCTGCATGCAATTCTGCTTCTACTTTGGACTCCTCAGCCATCCGCTCTCTGTTTTGAAGGAAACATGATAAATTCACTTTAAAAATCATCTTAAGAGTTAAGAAAGGTTTCCTGGGGAATGTGCAGCCCTCTAAAAGATGTGATTTACAAATGAGCAGCATCAGCCATCAGCTCAACCTCATGAGCAGCCGCTAAGCACCAGAGAAAGGGGCCTGTGGTGTTAACCAAAACTCAGGCTGCATGAAAGATCAGCCCAAAGTGGGAAAACACTCGGAGAAACAGCAGAGGTACAATCAAAATGAGAGAGGATTACTTTGTTTTGTCATGTCTGATAGTTATTTATTCTCCAGGCCAGTGGTTCTCAACATAACTAATGCTGTGACTCTTTAATACTCATGTTGTGGTGAGCCCCAACCATGAAATTATTTTCATTGTTACTTCATAACTGTAATTTTGCTACTGTTAAGAATCACAATGTAAAATATCTGTGTTTTCTAATGGTCTTAGGTAGCCCTCGTGAAAGGGTCACACGAAACTCCCAATGGGGTTGTGATCCACAGGTTGAGAACCACTGTTTTAGGTTTAAGCTGCTAATTATGTCTCTTCCTTTCCTTTGAAATGAGAGGCCTTCATCTAACTGACCAGCATCCTTTCCTTTGACACGCGAGGCCTTCACCTAACTGATCAACATTCTTAGTTTGGGTTCTTTGGTCAAGATCCATGATTAGGTTTCTGAAAATGTTGAAATTCCCTGAAATGGCAAGTAAAATGTGTGTGATGTCTACACTTTCTACTCCTATAAGGACACATGAAAAGTTAACACCCATGGATGTGAGCAGTGGCTCCTTCCATCCCTAGACTGACCTAGCATGTGACTCTCCTGAGGTACCAGTGTTTCTCAGGGTGGGTGGCTACCTTGCCTGCAATCCCTTCCCTCTGAGCATGTCTTCTGTGTGTTGGATTGTGTGTCCATCTTCCCCATGTGCCTCCAGAAAAGCCTCTGCTAATGGATTCCATTTGTCCACTTGCAGCACTGGCTTGGTGTGGGGATGAGGCAACTTGTGTGTGTGTGTGTGTGTGTGTGTGTGTGTGTGTGTGTGTGTGTGTATGCACATGTGGTATCAGAAGACAACCTGTAGGAATTGATTTTCAGGTCCTATCAGGCTCCATGGCAAGCCCAGTTACCCACTTAACATCTCACTGCCCCACTGATACATTTCCTAATAACACCACATAAAGGAATGGACAATCTGAAGTCATTGGTGAGATATTGTTTTGTTATTTCATCTCTACACTCCTCCCATACCATACTTATCTGTAACACAAAAAAATAAAAGACCCACAGACTGATTCTGAGGTTCCAGCTTCAAGCTGAAGTTCAGAAATGCACAGTAGTCAGCCACTAGCTCTTACCTCTACCTCAGGTGAATGGGCTGATCCTGCTGCCTCTCAGCGTGGCTGAATGCTCCTATCTTCAGTGTGGTTGGAGAATGAATGCTCCTACTGAATACTGAAGACCCTGCTTCTATCTTTTATACCCCTCTAGTACTGGGATTAAAAGTATGTGACCTGTTGTTACTCTTAGACTGATTCAATCCGATGTATCACTGAACTCAGAGAGATCAATCTACCTCTTAATCCTGAGTCCTAGAACTTAAGGTGTGTACCACCACTCCTAGCTTCTGGTTGCTGGGATTAAAGGTGTGACATCTATTCAGTACATACAGTGCTGTTAATTGTGGGCCTCATGGAATAAGAACATATTTGAATCCAGCTCTTGTTTTCTTCTGAGGCAGCCATTAGACCATCATTGCACGGTTAGTTCCTGAAACAGTTTTCTGGTTTTGGTGAGGCATACTTGCCTAATCTCAAACTCACTGACAACCCTTCAATTCTTGGGTTTCCTGGAGTTCAGTGGAGAGCTCCTGATCCGAGTCCAAGCTCTCTCTGTAGAGCAGGAAGGAAGGAATGCAGCAGAAGCACTCTTCTTCACACACAGCCTTCATCCTCTCACTGCCCTCCTGCCTGCCTCTCCTCACCATCTGAGTTTTGCTTCTTTAAGATGAGGAATTTTCCTGATCTAGGAGATTCTGTGTACTCTTCTAGAGCTACTGAAATGGGTTATCTGAGGATTCTCAGTAGATAGCACCTACAAAAGCTCAATGACTCCTTCTCTGGCCTCTTCCTTCTTGAAATCAGTGCCACCCTCTGACCTCCATTCTACCTATACTTTCCCATACTTATAAAGATGAATTCCAATCGTGACCTCTTTGCAGAACGAACCTGCATTTCTACATCTCATAATTCTATCTCAAAACCAATGTGTCTAAAACATAATTTCCCACGCTTGATCTTTCTTCCTGAGTGTGAACACCGATTAGTAGAACTCTGCACACTATCAAGAGGTTGGCAAGTCTCAGGTGAGGTAGGGTCCTTTGATGAAATGGAGTGATAAGCAGTAGACAGACACATTTGAAGCAATGCCACAGGCCTCAGTCTCACCTTACTTCCCTGTCACTGACCTTGCAATAATCATCTTACCAAAAGTGACAGGAAGGATTATTCTTTGTCTTTTTGAATTGAAAATATTTTTCTTGTAATTTATTCTGATTATGGTTCCCCTCTGTCACTTCCTCCCAGATCACCCCTCTTCCCCAAATCTACATCCTTTCTTGCTCTTATTGGAAAAAAACAGGAAGAAAACTAATTGTAAAATAAGATAAAATAAAAACAAACAAACCTGAATAGGACAAAACAAACAAATGAACAGAAAAACCAAAAGAGTACCTAAAGAATTTTCAGGATAGTCAGGGACAGGAATGACTCACTAGCAAAATAATTTATTTGACTTTGGTGGATTTTTAAATGATTTTCTGCACAGCTGTGTGACAGTAACATTTGACCAGAAAATAAACTTTGCACAGATTTCATGTACGGAAAGTACCTTCTCTGCCCTGATCCTGCTTTGGCACGTGCAAGCAGTGACAAGAATGAGGTTCTACATGTGTCTCCCTAAGCATAAATGTCCATAGAATAATGCCAGTGTCTAAATCATATTTACTGTCATACTGTTTGTAACAAAACTTAGATGAGGTGATTCCAGTCCTGCATGGGTAGATTCACTCAGACTACTGTGATTCCTTGCCCAAATCTGTATTATTTATTTTGGTTTCCTTAATTTTTGTTTATAAGTGTGTGCAAGCACACATGCCATGGACACACATGTCAGAGGACAATTCTTGGGAGTTGGTTCTTGTAAGTCTGGGGATAGATCTCAGGTCATCTGCCCCACACAAGTGCCTCTACCGATTGAGCTATCTCTTACTTTGGCTTTCTTGAGACAGGATCTTACTATATAGCCCATGATGGCCTCAAGCTCATGATCTTCCTGCCTCAGCCTTCTAACTATCAGTGTGCCTCCCACACCTGGCTCAAATAATGCTTTTAAAGAATGGATTAAGCTAGGCAGAACATGTGCGTGTCCCCCACAGTAGTCTTTAAATTTTGGGTTAACGTCACAAAGAATCATCTAGATAATGGGTGAGGAAGAACTGGAAAGGAGACACACACAGGCACGCTCCAGCACCTGTCACCTGTGCTGTTCAGCTTTGTGTGCTCGCTTACCATGAAAGAGAAAAGGCTTCACTACCTTATGTGAACAAGCCACTTACTCCTCCAGAGGCTCTTCCCCAATCTCACTGTGAATATACGACCCTTACTTGAATGCTTCTAAATTCTTCCGCTCAAGTTCTTTGCTTTCCAGTTTGTCTTGGATGTGATCTAGCTTAGACTGCAGATGGCCATTTGTCTGGAGAGCCTGCTCTAGGCTCAAGGCCAGTTTCCTGTTGTCCTCTCTAGTTATATCTAGAGACTTCTGGAGTGGCTCCATCTGAAAGGGAGGAGAACACCTGTTAGTCCAAGGCAGTCAGTACAACAATCTTTGCTCCATATACTTTCTCTGTAAGTGCCATGGAAATGATCAGTTGGAACTAGAAACAAATACTCTAGGTAAAATATATAATGCACACACAGCAACTTACAACCATCATTGCCTAAGTTGACTATCAGAAGGCAATTCTCCCGGAGATCGGAGAGCACTGGAAAATAGAGCTAGCTTACATTGTCTTGATTTTCAAAAGTTTAGCCAGTTAAATTGTTCTCTAACTGATTGCATCACCTTCTGGTCTCATTCTCTAGGAGGTAAAAAACTGGCAACTATTCCTTGTAGGCTTATTTAAGGGCTACTGCAAAGGCTCAGTGGGGGAAGGCACCTGCCACCCAGCTAACCAGCTTGAGTTCAATCACTTCTACCTACAAGAGGGGATGGATTCCCACAAGCTGCCATATGACCTCTGCACTTGGCACATGTGTGCTGACCTCCAAATAAGTAAACATCAAAAGGCCTATTCATGTTTGTTGTAAGCCATGTGTGAGTACATACAGTGGGCACACGTGTGTGTGCATGTCTGCTCACTACCAGTGTCATCATCTAGCTGTGAGATTATGGGTTGTTTTCTAAGACATTTAACTCCTGAAATAACCTGTGCATTGATAAATGAGAATAATGTGAACAATGAAAGAGAAAAACAAATCAAAGTTATGATTCATTACCTATTTCCTGTTCATAAATGTCATTGTCCAAGACTCTTAACTGAATGAAAAGGAACTTTCTATTTCATTTCAATTTTCTAAAATAGTAATGTCACAACAAAACTGAGTAGGTCAGTGTGGCCAGCTCTGACAGCTGGCCTCTACCTCACTGCTGTGCTGAGCCTCCACAATCAGCATCCTGGCCTGCCACTGGTCCACTTCTGCTTCCAGCTTCTGGACTCTTTGTTGATTTAGAGACCTGAAAATAGAAAGCATAAGAAATTATTGTAAAGAAGTGTACAGGAATGATGACACCACTTGGAAGTGCCAGGACACCTTTTTCTTGGAAGCTCAGACAGCATTAATAGTAGTAGCTGCACCTGCTCAGAATATCAGAAAGTTGTTAAGTAATCATTGTTCCTTCATCTTCAGGGCAAAAAAGAAAGGCTCACAAGGATATAAAATCTTGTCCCATGTGTGACTCAGTCACACTTAGTCATTAGGCTATGAATCCATGACTGACTTCGGGGATGTCAATTTAGTATACTGCTTTACCAGTTGGGTAAGGTTTGGCCTGCTGTTGAAACTTTTGCTTCTAAATATAATAGCTATTTTGAAATGTGACAAGTAAACTATTTTATATACTATTCTCTTGCCTTTTTTAAAATTTAAGGTAGTATATCAACACTTTTATAATATGCAAAAATAAAGATAAGCATGGTAAAGAAGATACAATTAACTTGTTTTCTCATAACGTAGAAGCAATATGAGCCAGTAATATACATAATTTTTCCGGAGGCATTATCAGCCTCAAACAATTTTTGTAATTTTCTAATAAATTGATTTTCATTTTATGTAATTTTGAAACATTGATGTTCACTAATAAAGCACAGCTAAAGTTAATTCTCAGGATGATTAACATAAAATTATTATTAATCTTGAAATATTAAAGTAATAAATTAGTAATAAGATGCTTAGCTTCAAGTTTGACTGTGTGTGTGGGGGGCTCTAGAACATGATCCCCAAGTTCAACCACTGAGCATGCTCTCTAGATCTCTAGCCCAACTTAATTTTCTTGACATTATTCTGTAGAGCCAAGGACAGAATTGGGCTTAAGTGATGCAGAAAAGTAGCAAGGTTAAAATAGTCCACAAAGTTCAAGGAATGCCACTTGGACTTTTTAAGTGCAGGTTTAGCCCCTAGACTGTCAGTTCTTTAAACACCATTCTAATAGTTTTTCAAAGTAAATGTACTCAAGAGGCTTCATGTCCTTCCTAGATACAGCAGAAACATAAATGTGGTACCTTTCCTTTTTGAGGCCTGCGATCTCTGAATCCCTCCGCCCGAGCTCCATCTGGACTTTCTCCAGAGCTCCCTGCATCTTACTGTGAGATGCCAACACATTTTCCAGCATGATTGTGACTTTGCAGTTGTCTTCTTTAGCCTCTGCTAACTGCCGCTGAAAGTTTCCCACCTAAAAGAAAATGAAACAAGATAGAAATAGGGGAAAGTATATTTCACTTTTGTTTCTTTAAGTTATTCTGCTTTCAGAAAAAGAAACGGAAATGTGGCAGCTGCCTGCCTAGTGCCACAGCACAGCTAAGTTACATGGATATACGGGGCCAACAACTTCTTTGGCTCAGAATCGATCTCTGTAAGTATGCTCAGCTGTCTTCTGATGGGCTCAGAAAAGGAAAGCACATCTGAAATTATCTGAGGATAAAGACTTGGGGAGAAAGTGGAAGCTGCTAAGGAATGATGTGGCCATAGGTCTCCCTTTTCAAAGATACTTATCGCTGGCTGTCAAGAAGTTTGGGATGGGTCAGCAAAATTGTTCAGAGTATAAAGCACTGGTCAGTAAGTCTGATGACCTGAGTTCTCTCTCTGGGACCTCTATGATGGAAGGAGAGAACTAACTCCTGTAAATTTCCCTCTGACCTCTACAGTACACCCACATACATCCACATAAAAACAAATTTTATATGAAATATATACATATTATATATATGTTTCATTCACACATAAGAATAACAATTCTGACATTTGCACTAACATGGGTAGAAGTAGCAGACATTAGATTGAACTGAAATAACTCAGGCATAGAAAGATATGTATCATATATGCTCACTTAAATGTGGAAGCTAAAACCCTGACCTCAAAGAAGTAGAAAATGGTGTCTGCGAGAGCTTAAGAAAGGTGGTGGAGGATGGACACAGGGCAGTTACAGTGGTGTTACTGGATAGGAGGCAAACTCCTAGTGCTTTTTAAAGTCAGTAAGACAACATAGCTGCCAAGAATTAGTTGAATGTTTCACATACAAACAGTATAAGTAGCTAGTAAGGGATTTACGGAATGTTCCTGACACAAAGGAATGATACATTTGAGGTGACAGGTATGCTAAGTATTCTGGTATGATTTAAGTTTTATAGATGCATGAAAATGTCATATAATATCTAATAAATACACACAATTACAATGTGTGAATGAAAAATTCTAAACACATTTTAAAAAGCTGTTTGGGAGAGGACTTCTGCTTGTGCTAAGTCACACAGGAGCACAGGAACCTCAAGGAGAAGCAGCACTGTGGTGTCATATGACACTAAACACAAAGAAGAGGCTTGGCAGGATGGCAGCTGCCTGTAATTCCAGCTCAGGTCAGGGATGACAAGGGACTAACACATGATAGACACTTTCAGACCAGCCTGGGCTACATGGGCAGACCCTGTATTAAAAATCCGTAGAAATTAGATAAGTAAAACACCCGCAGAAGGTGATTACTACCAAAATCAGACAGAATTCAATAGAAAATAATCAGACTTTTTCGTGTAGTCATAGTGCATCATTATGGAAATTTTTAAACAATGTCAGCCCTTCACTGGTCACAGCTCCCCTTCCCATGGATGGAAAAGGAAGTTAGGGGATGCGGCTTGCCAGGCTTCTCATGGGCCCTGTTGGAAAAGGATGTTCAGAGAGGACACCTTGCCTTCTTGCTCTCCCTGTCCTCCAAAGCTTCCAGGTCCCCTCTCAACTTCTGGCTCTCTTTCAGGGCAGCATCTCGACACTTCACAGCTTGGGCCAGCTCTTCCTCATTTTTCCCAAGAATGGATTTCATCTTGGAAGGAAAACAGAAATAATGCATAACTTTCTAAAACACAACCAATCAGTGATTGTAGGAAGACACCGACATTTAGAGAATAAACATGAATAATTAAGCATGCTTATCCACTTAAATAAATAAATGCCACAAGTGTTTATTTATGTAACTAAATTAAATGAAAACGCATACACACAAGAGTAAAACAATGGAGCTAAATAAAAGTTTTGTGACTTTGGAAAATGGAAACAATTCCAGACTAAGATAGACATAAGAAGTTGCCTTGGTGAGTCTAGGCAAATGAGAAAAGTCAGAGCAGAGATAAAGATAGGAAGAGGGGACTCCCAGGGAGTTAAAGGACAGGGGAAAGTACAGGAAACAGAATACTGACAATGGTGGAAGAGCAAGCAGCACAGGCCTTCAGTCTGACTCCCTGGTTAGTACAGGGGAATCAGAAGCACTACCCAAGGGGAAAGCCAGCAGGCCATGCCTCTGACCCACTGAGACATCTGCTGTGATAGTAACTGTCTCTATTTTGCTACTCCCCATCAGAACACATTTTAAGAATGGAGCTGTTCACCGGGAACTCTGAGTGCTTGTGAGAAGACTCCAAGAAAACAGACAAGAGTCTCTAGTGACCTCTGTTTCTTCGAAACTTGGAATTATTCTTGGAATGTGTGCTTGTGCCCCTCCTACGTGTTGTGGATTGCAGTGAGATCACTTTATTCATTATAGCTGATTTATTTATTTGCTTATATGCCTCTATGAAAAAAACATGTTTTTGCCACGTGTGGCTTGTCCTTGTGATTGAACACTATACCATGTGATTCTTAACCCTCGAGTATAAATTGTCTGATGCTCACACTAAAGTTGGCTATTGGATGAGACTCTAACCTGTCTCATTTTTAGGCCCTTCTCTCTCAGCTTCAGGCCACCAAATAGAGTGGTAAACAGCTCCTCTAATCTTGGCTATGTGTCATTTAGAGAGGGAAATTATTGGTTAAGACTGTGCTACCCTCATATAAAACCTCACACAATTGTAGTGGGAGACTTCAACACCACTAGACAGGACCACAAGACAGAAACTTAACAAGGATACAAAGGAACTAATAGAAGTTATGACCCAATTGGGTTTAACAGCCATCTATAGAACACTCCATCCAAACACAAAAGAATATACCTTCTTCTCAGCTCCACACAGAACTTTCTCAAAAATCAACCACATACTTGGCAACATAGCAAACCTCAACAGGTACAAAAAAATTGGAATAACTCTGTGTATCATGCCTTAAAGTTAGAATTCAACAATAACCCAAATTGCAGAAACCCTGCAAACTCATGGAAATTGAATAATACACAATTGCACCACTCCTGGGTCAAAGAAGAAATAAAAAAAGACATTAAAGACTTCCTAGAATTAAAGACTTCCTAGAATTCAATGAGAATGAAGACACAACATACCCAAACTTATGGGACACTTTGAAAGCAGTGCTAAGAGGAAAGTTCATAGCACTAAGTGCCCACATGAAGAAACTGGAGAATAGAGAATTAACAGCACAACTGAAAGCTCTAGAACAAAAGGAAGCAAACTCAGCCCAGAGGAGCAGATGCCAAGAAATAATTAAATTGAGGGCTGAAATCAATAAAATAGAAACTAGAAAAATGATACAAAGAATCAATGTAACGAAGAGTTGGTTCTTTGAGAAAATCAACAAGATAGACAAACCTTTGTCCAAACTTACCAAACATGCAAATTAACAAAATCAGAAATGAAAAGGGACACATAACAATGGACAGTGAGGAAATCCAGAGGATCATCAGGTCATATTTTGAAAAGCTATACTCCACAAAATTTGAAATTTTAAAGGAAATGGACAATTTTATGGATAGATATCATTTATCAAAATTAAAATTAGATCAAGAACAGATAAGCAATTTAAATAGTCCTATAACACCTAAGGAAATAGAAACAGTCATCAAAAGTCTCCCAACCAAAAAAAGTCCAGGCCCAGATGGCTTCAGCTCAGAATTTTACCAGAAATTCAAAGAACAGATTATACCAATTTTCCTCAAAGTATTCCATGCAATAGAAGCAGAAGGGTCTTTGCTAAACTCTTTTTATGAGGCTTCAATAACATTGATACCCAAGCCACACAAAGACAGAACTAAGACAGAGAACTTCAGACCAATATCTCTCATGAACATTGATGCAAAAATACTCAATAAAATACTGGCAAAACAGATCCAAGAACACATCAGAAACATCATACACCATGATCAAGTAGGCTTCATTCCAGGGATGCAGGGATATTTCAACATACGAAAAATCCATCAATGTAATCCACCATATAAACAGATTGAGAAACAAAAATCACATGATCATCTCACTAGATGCTGAAAAAGCCTTTGATGAAATCCAGCACCCCTTCATGATAAAGATCTTGGAGAGATCCAGGATAACAGGAACATACCTAAACATCATAAAAGCTATATACAGCAAACCAACAGCCAACATCAAACTGAATGGAAACTCAAGGCAATTCCTCTAAGATCATGAACAAGACAAAGCTGTCCCCTCTCCCCATACCTCTTCAATATTGTACTGGAAGTTCTAGCTAGAGCAATATGACAACAAAAAGAGATCAAGGGGACACAAATTGAAAAGCAAGAAGTAAAACTTTCACTACTTGCAGATGATATGATAGTTTACATAAGTGACCTAAAAACCTCTACCAGGGAACTCCTACAGCTGATAAACACCTTCAGCAAAGTGGCAGGCTACAAGATCAACTCAAGAAAATCAGTAGCCCTACTATATACAGACGATAAAAGGGCCGAGAAAAAATATCAGAGAAACATCACCCTTTACAATTGCCACAAACAACATAAAATACCTGGGTGTAACGCTAACCAAACAAGTGAAAGGCCTGTATCGAAAGAACTTTGAGTCTTTAAAGAAAGAAATCAAAGAAGACACCAGGAAATGGAAAGATCTCCCATGCTGTTGGATAGGCAGGATCAATATAGTAAAATTGGCAGTCCTGCCAAAAGCAATCTACAGACTCAATGCAATCCCCATCAAAATCCCAGCACAATTCTTCACAGACCTTGAAAGAACAATTCTCAACTTTATATGGAAAAACAAAAAAACCAGAATAGCCAAGACAACCCTGCTCATCAAAGCAATGTCAGGAGGCATCACCTTCCCTGACTTCAAGCTCTATTATAGAGTTATAGTCCTGAAAACAGCTTGGTATTGGCATAAAAATAGACAGGTAGACCAATGGAATCGAATTGAAAGCCCCGAGATTAATTCACAAACCTATGAACACCTGATTTTCGACAAAAAAGCTAAAATTATACAATGGAAAAAAATAGCATCTTCAACGAATGGTGCTGGCATAACTGGATGCTGGCATGTAGAAGACTGCAGATAGATACATGTCTATCACCATGCACAAAACTTAAGTCTAAATGGATCAAAGACCTCAACATAAATCCAACCACACTGAACCTGCTAGAAGAGAAAGTGGGATAGAACACTGAGATAGAAAATAAATGGGACCTCCTGAAACTGAGAAGCTTCTGTAAGGCAAAAGACACAGTCAGCAAGACAAAAAGATGCCCCACAGATTGGGAAAAGATATTCACTAACCCCATATCTGACAGAGGGCTGATCTCCAAAATTTACAAAGAACTCAAAAATCAAGTCTCCACAACATCAAAGGATCCAATTAAAAAATGGGAAACTGAACTAAATAGGGAATTCTCAATAGAGAGTATAAAATGGCACTGAGACACTTGAGAAAGTGTTCAACATCATTAGCCATAAGGGAAATGCAAATCAAAGCAACTCTGAGATATCACCTTACTTCTGTCAGAATGGCTAAAATCAAAAACACCAATGACAGTTTGTGCTGGAGAGGATGTGGAGAAAGGGGAACACTCCTCCACTGCTCGTGGAAGTGCCAACTTGTACAGACACTATGGAAATCAGTGTGGCGATTCCTCAGGAAAATAGGAATCAGTCTACCACAAGACCCAGCAATTCCACTCTTAGGCATATACCCAAAAGATGCACATTCATACAACAAGGGCATCTGTTCCACTATGTTCATAGCAGCATTATTTGTAATAGCCAGAACCTGGAAACAACCTAGATGCCCCTCAACTGAAGAGTGGATACAGAAAATGTGGTACATTTACACAATGGAGTTCTACTCAGCGGGAAAAAAAACAATGGAATCTTGAAATTTGCAGGCAAATGGATGGCACTAGAGGAAACCATCCTGAGTGAGGTAACACAGACACAATAAGACAAACATGATATGTACTCACTCATATATATGGATTTTAGGCATGGATCAGGGGAGTGTCAACCTACAATCCCAGTGCCAATGAGTCTGGGAAACAGGTAGGTTCCCAAGAAAGATGCATGATACCCCAGAGAAGTGGAATGAGGCAAGATCTCCTGAGAAGATTGGCAACATCAGGAGGGGGAGAGGGAGCCAAGAAAAAGAGAGGGGGATAAGCAAACATGAGATGAAGGTATGGGGGAGCAGGAAGGTTGAGTTGAGGTAAGAATAGAGAAGAGCAGGATGAGAGATTGAGTCATTATAGGCTTGAGGAGAGAGCTGACACTAGTGAGATCTACAGAAATCTACAAGGATAACACCAACTGGCAAAGTAATAGTGGAAAGACTACATTAATTGCCCCTCCTTGACAGTAAGGTTGATGACTACCTTATATGCCATCCTAGAACCTTCATCCAGTGACTGATGGAAGCAGACACCGATACCCACACCTAAACACTGAACTGTACTCTTGGAACCTAGTGCCAGAGATGGAGGAGTGATGAACAAAGGGGTCAAGACCATGATGGTGAAACCCACAAAGACAACTGACCAGATAAGGGGGGAGAGCTCTTGAATCCCAGACTGATGCCTGAGAGACCAACAGGGGATTGATCCAGACTCCATGAATATGGTCTCAGTGAGGAGGCGACAGAAATCACCAG